AGAAGGTAAGGAGGGTGAGAAGGGAAGAAGCTGACCTCTTGTCCTCCTTACCTTCTTCTTCCTCCTCTCTTTGACACCACCTGGCCCTCTTACTGCTGCTTGGGCCTCGCAACACGACGTGAGCGCAGGGCCCAAGCGGCGGTAAGAGGCCCAGGCAGCGAGGAGGAGGAGGAAGAAGGTAAGGAGGACAAGGAGGGAAGGTGAGGGGGAGGTGGAATTTCAATTATCGTGGGTGGTCCTGAGGATTGAGGAGGCGTCGTGGGGCCCAAGCAATGGCAAGAGGCCCAGGTGGCGGTGAGGAGGAGGAAGAGGAAGGTAAGGAGTGCAAGGAGGCCATACTATGAGCAACTACAGTGAAATCAGTAAAACTTAGATTACAGTGGTTCCTCACTTATCGCGGGTGTTATGTTCCTGGACCACCTGCGATAATTGAAATTCCGCAAAGTAGGGACACCCCCTCACCTTCCCTCCTTGTCCTCCTTACCTCCTTCTTCCTCCTCCTTGTCGCCGCCTGGGCCTCTTACCGCCGCTTAGGCCCTGTGCTCACCTCCTCAATCAGGGGCCCAAGCAGCAGTAAGAGGGCCAGGTGGTGTCAAAGAGGAGGTCGGGGCACACAGAAAACTGGGCGACTTGGAAGGCGCTCAACAGACTGCGCTCTGACACCACGAGATGCAGAGCCAACCTTAAGAAATGGGGCTACAAAGTGGAATCCACAACATGTGAGTGTGGAGAAGAGTAAACTACAGACCACCTGCTGCGATGCAACCTGAGCCCTGCTACATGCACAATGGAGGACCTTCTTATAGTAACACAAGAGGCACTCCAAGTGGCCAGCTACTGGTCAAAGGACATTTAATCAACTACCAAGCTTGCAAACTTTGTGTTTTGTTTGTTTGTTAAAAAATGCAATACAACTGTTTGGCTTGCTCCTGACACGATAAATAAATAAAAATAAATATCCCAGATTATCTGTTTATCCCAGAGTATCTGGCAGTGTAGACCCAGATAATCCAGTTCAAAGCAGATAGTTCTGGGATCAGATCCTGGGATGTAGGGCAATGTAGATCCAGCCTAAGTCTCTCAATCCAGTCACTGTGACTAACCTTTGGGGGAGATTTTCTTGACTTCTGCCACATAATCAGATGCCCGGTAGTCAATGGGGTGGGTGACTCCATTCTCCTTGAGGGTCTCATGCTTGGAGGCAGAGGCTGTGCCAAAAACGGTAACGTTTTCCACCGTTTTGCAGAGCTGGACTGCAGCAGTTCCCACTCCACCTGGAAAGAAAGCAGAAGGTAACCAAGTGAGCAAGGAAATGCTGGCAATGGCCCCAGGCCATTTGCAGGAAGAAGCAATGTGCACAGCTTTATGCTCCCACCCCACTCCCTCTGAAGGATGGGATCAATTTGCTCCTTGTTCAATAAAAAGTTCACAGTCAGGTTCTGAAGACAATGGATATTGTTTTGGCTCAAAAAGCAGGAGAAGCAAAGTAGGCTGACAAGCCAAATAGCACACGCTTTTTGAATGTCACAGTTTACCGGAGTTCATCATATCCTAAGCCTGAGCTTGTGCATTTATATCCTAACCTAAATTATTTCAATAAGGGATGTTCTGTGCAGTGCTACGAAAAGGGCAAAACCAAAAGGCAGTGTCACTTATACATTTAAGCTGTTTGCACTGCTTAACCTGCCTATTTTCCCTCCTCACTTTAAAAAATAAACCGCGGGAGCTGCACTTTTGTGCGTGAATGAGTTTAAGAATTACTAAATACAGATGGAGGGAGCATGCACTATAATTACCATCACTCCTAAGGCATTGGTCATGCTAGCTGGTGCTGATAGACACTGGAATTCACAGAGCTTAAGAGCAATGGTAACAGAACAACTGCCACTTTTAAATATATATAGTTAGAGTAGCACACCATGATTAGAAAGACCCAGGCTCCAATCTGCCTTCCCAATAAAATTCAATGTGTGAATTTCTCAGCTTAACTTACCTTATAGAGTAACAATTCAAAGTGCTGGTTTTGACCTATAAAACCCTATACGGCTCCGACCCAGCGTACCTGTCCGAATGCATCTCCTTCTATGTCCCACCTCGGAGTTTAAGATCTTCGGGGGAGGCCCTGCTCTTGGCCCCGCCTCTATCACAAGTGAGGCTGGTGGGGATGAGGGACAGGGCCTTCTCGGTGGTGGCCCCTTGCCTGTGGAATTCACTCCCCGGAGAAATTAGGTCATCAACATCCCTCCTCTCCTTCAGAAGGAAGCTCAAAACATGGATATGGGACCAGGCCTTTGGGTAATCTGGCAGACTGACAAGGTAATGACGACCAGAATTTGAAAAGGACTATGGTAATGCTGAATGGACTTACGGATTTTAGAACTCGGTGAACGTTGGCCACTAGATTGGCTTTTTAGTTGTTATTGTATTAATTGAATGTTTTAACTATTGTGGTTATTGTTATGTATTTTATCTGTTGAATTGTTGGCATTGAATTGTGCTGGTTATAAGCTGCCCTGAGTCCTCCCTAGGGGGTTGAGAAGGGTGTGGTAGAAGTGCCCAAAATAAATAAATAAATAAATTTAAGGGCTATAACTCCCATAATGCCTCACCACTAGTTATGCTGATAGGGATAGTGGGCGATGAAGGGAAGTCCACAGTTGACCTTGCTGGTAATGAATTAAAAATAGTAGGATCACAGAGTTGGGAGGAACTTTGGAGACAATCTAGTTTGTCCCCCTTTTCACTCAATCTTGGTTGTGACACAACTAAAATGATATTTGACTGATGACTGCTCAGCCTTTGTTTGTGTTTCTAAGATCCTCTGGGCCCTCCTCTCACTCCCACCTTTGTTACAAGCACGGTTGGTGGGGACGAGAGGGATGGCCTTCTTGGTGGTGACCCCCCGCCTCTGGAACGCCCTTCCAAGGGAAATAAGACAGGCCCTATTCTTCCCCTCTTTTCGTAATAGTTTGAAGACTTGGTGGCTCCAACAAATCTTCGAGAGTGATGAGTGCTAGCTCAACCAAGACACTGTCCAAACACATCCTAGCCCCCTATATATTACCCTGGTCATTCTCCTAACAGCCCCCTGGAAATAGCCTGTCCCTGCTTTTGTCGCTTACCTATTACAGTACTGTACCCAAATGCCGGTTCCATCTTATTTCAATTTGTATCAGTCTTGACCCAGCCTTTTTAATTGTCCTGACCCATTCCTTTTCCATGCCCTAACAAATAGACATGAAGAGCAAGCAGGATTTTTTTTCTTTTAATATTTATGTCTTTGGATAATTCCATGCTTATGTTACTGTTATTTTTTGTTCATGTTGTGACTCTGTATGTTTTGATGTTGTTGCTTGGAAACTGTCTTGAGTCCCCCCGGAGAGATAGAGCAGCATATAAATAAAAATTATTATTATTATTATTATTATTATTATTATTATTATTATTATTCAGGAAGGTGAAACCACTACCTTCCAGAGGCAGTCTGTTTACTAGCCCTTATCATTAAAAGGTTTTCCCCTAATGTTCACTAAAATCTGTGGAAAGGGCTGTGGAAAGGCACTTGGGGAAGTCACAGGAAGCATGTCTATTCTATCTTCCACATAACAACCTTTCAGATATTTGAAAACTGTGACAATTCAATTTTTTAGCAGTATAGAAGGAAGGGTTTGGAATTTGTGAGCCATTCTGTTCTTGTCTTGCAAGACTTAGTGATGCTTTATTAACAACAATATCACATTAGCATTATAAAGTGGATGCTCCCGTTTCCCTAACATGTGGCTGCCTCCTGCAGAATTGTGGGAAGTATAGTTTATTATTATTTATTTATTATTTCGAGTACTTCTACCCCGCCCTTTTCAACCCCCTAGGGGGGACTCAGGGAGGCTTACAACCGGCACAATTCGATGCCAACAATTCAACAAGTAAAATACATAACAGCAGTAATCAAAAATAGTTAAAAACAATCAATTAATACAATAACAACTAAAAAAAGTTAGCCAATCTAGTGGCTAACGTTCACCGAGTTCTAAAATCCGTAAGTCCATTCAGCATTATCATAATCCTTTCCAAACTCTGGTCGTCATTACCTTGTCAGTCTGCCAGATTACCCAAAAGCCTGGTCCCATATCCATGTTTTCAACTTCCTTCTGAAGGAGAGGAGGGATGTCGATGACCTAATTTCCCCGGGGGAGTGAATTCCACAGGCGAGGGGCCATCACTGAGAAGGCCCTGTCCTTCGTCCCCACCAGCCTCACTTGTGATAAAGGTGGGGCCGAGAGGAGGGCCTCCCCAGAAGATCTTAAGCTCCAAGGTATGTTGGGAAGTTGAGGATCTCTCTGGCTGAAAATTCCAAAGTTCGCATCCTAAATTATGTTTCCTGGAATTCTGCAGGAGGCAGCCACACATTAGGGAAATGGAAGCATCTGCTTTATAATGTTAATGTGATAGTATCCTAACACAAGAGAAATTCTCTTACCTGCTGCCATGTGGACGAGGACACTCTGGTTGGGTCTCAGGTTGCCAAAGTCAAAGAGCACCATGTAGGCCGTGATGTAATTGACCAGAAAGGCAGCAGCCTCCTCAAAGCTCATCCCTTCTGGCATAAGAAATGTCTGATTGGCCGGAACTGTCACTATTTCTTGCCAGAGGCCGGACCTGGCCATCACCATCACTTTATCACCCACCTGGTGTAAGAGAAGAGGGTGTTCAGATTGATGAATCCATGCTCAAATGGAGGGATGTCACAGCTTTGATCTCAAATTCTACCCAGGGGTGGCTGGTGGATCCACTGCCCCAGAACTCTCTTCCCTTAGAGGCACAGAAAAGCAGTGGATCCACTTTTAGGATCATTCCTAGAATGTTCTGGATCCTATCCCACCAGGAACACCAGGTTGGGCACCAGGAACATTCTCATACAACTTAGCTGTAAAGATACACATGAGAAACTGAAAGTGGATTCTTCACTCAACATGAGAATGAATCCACTATCATGCCCTGTTCCCCAGTAACAACACAGGCATGTAAACTTCCTTACTGCAACAGTTCCATTGGCCAGGCACAATTCAACATGCTGGTTACATTCAATACAGTTCTAAGGTCTTCCACTATCTTCTTAGGCACGTTTGTTGGAAATGCAGAAGAAGGCCCTTCCGTAGCTGTTCCGGGATTCTGGAATTCCCTTCCTTGAAAGAGTTTTGCTCTCTCTTACTGTGGTTTTCACAACAATATAAAATTCCACTGTAACTAACATAAGAGATTGACAGAAGATATTTCTATTCCAGCACACTTGGGAAATTTGATTTTTTTAAAAAGGGGGGTGGTCTAATGTGCTGTACTAATGTATTAATATTTCAAATAGATTTAATTTTCGTGTTCCTTTAAGATCATGTTAATTTCTTTTATGTTTTTATCCCTGTGTTTTTTTTTCCTTGTCATTTTCCCCACTATGAGTCCTGGTTTGAAAAGAAACTGAGCCATAAATAAAAAGGGCTTCTTTTTTCTAGCAGCAGTCTGCACAGTTGTTGCGCAGATTCAGGAATCCTTGACAAAATAGTTTGTTCCATGCATTTTGCAAGCTTCCAATGAGATTTCAAAAAGAAAAGAAGGCTGACTGTTCACTTCAGAGTCAGTAATGTTTTGGAGCCAGACAAAAAGTGTGCGCCTATAAGCAAGAGCAGTTCTTTGCAATATTTACTCACTAAATTGAGGGTGGGAACCTTGGCCCTTCCAGATGTTTGAACTCCAAGCCCCACTCTTCCCAAACCATTGCTTGTGTTGGCGTGGGCTTCTGGAAGTACAAAACATCTGGAGAGCCAAATGTTCCCCACTCCTGAGCTAAACAAGCTTTTTATATGAAGATCAAGTAATTTTATTTGAACTGTGCTTAGCAGTGTGGCATAGCTTTAGTGAGATTATTATTTAGAAACAATAAAAGTTGTTCAAGATGTAAACTCAATAATAATTGGTACACTTATGTCAGACAAAAGTGTATTAAGGCTGAATGACACTATCCAAATATCTAAAAAGGTGTCCGAGGAAGTGAGGAGAGAGCAATACCTCTCTTGTCCTCTGAAGACCTTAGTGTATGAAGTCACAAAAACATACAATATATTTTGAAGCCATTTCCAATCATAATTCGTAGTTAGTTTGGAAAACGTTACTTTATTAAAAGTCTGCAGAATGGGAAATGTGGCTTTCATGGCATCTAGTTCAAGGAAAGGGACCCAGCTCCTAAGTTGTTTATTTTCATTAGGCAATGCTTTTTCCAGGAAATAGCATGATTTTATCTTCCCTAGAGGGAAATCTGGTGTTTGTGACATGCATCAACTGACCCAGAAGGGAGGCTGTGTCCACCAAACGGGCCAGTTTTCCCACCACAGGATTTAAAGTGGAACTTCAAGGTTGTCTCCAAACCCAGCATCCTTCAGATGTACGTATTTAACTACAACTTGTATTATTCTCAGACCTTGCGCTTTGCATGCTGCATTATCACGGGGTGTCTGCGCCCTACACCACCGGAGAAATTACACTGTTTAGCCGGTATTGCACCACCTGACATCCACTGGGAAGTAGCAACCAATAGTGAAAGGACCAAGGCAGTGACATCTCAGCTCACCTCCGTTTGGGTATCAGCAAGCACGTCAATGACTTAAATCAAGAAATAGTTTTCTAAGATCTACAGATACACTTGCTGGAACTCCTCAGCAAGCGAGAGTCCAAAAGTGGCAGGTTCAAATCCAGAACCTCAATCAATGGCTGATACCAAATTAGAGACTCCCCCCCTGGGCACACAGAAAACTGGGCGACTTGGAAGGCGCTGAACAGACTGCGCTCTGGCACCACGAGATGCAGCCAACCTTAAGAAATGGGGTTACAAAGTGGAATCCACGACATGCGAGTGTGGAGAAGAGCAAACTACAGACCATCTGCTGCAATGCAACCTGAGCCCTGCTACATGCACAATGGAGGACCTTCTTATAGTAACACCAGAGGCACTCCAAGTGTCCAGCTACTAGTCAAAGGACATTTAATCAACTACCAAGCTTGCAAACTTTGTGTTTTGTTTGTTTGTTTGTTAAAAAATGCAATACAACTGTTTGGTTTGCTCCTGACACGATAAATAAATAAATAAATCATTCTCAGCCATTGTCCACCATGCTGGTTGTGAAGTGAACAGAACTGTGGATTTTCTGAAATGGTTACACTGGCCTTGGATAAAAATAGGAAGTTGAACAAAAGTTAGGGAATTGTACCCACAGAATGTTATCATATTTCAGATCAGCCCAAACCAACATTGGCAATAGAAAAAGATTACACAGTCCAACAAAAAAAAATTATATTGGTGTCTTGGTTTTTAGGTCTGCTCCTGGGATTATTTGGGCATTGATTCAGAAAACTGCATTATTAGATAGACCGCATCAGCTCTAGTTTCTTAGATATGGTTATCATGTTTTTATGGGCAAGCAGATGAAGAGTGTTCTGTAACTGTATCTCAAAACTGTATCTCAAAAACTAGAGCTGAAAGGGGAAATCTGGAGCCATTTTTGGAGTCAGCAGGTCTAACATACCCAGAAAATAGTCTAACATTTGAGGCACCAAAATGTATGTTGGTCAGTGTTACAGGAGTTGTGATCTGGAGTGCCACAGATTTCCAATCTTAAACAAAGTGGATGGCTGCTTGCTGTTATCCTAGAAGCAAGGGAAGGAACTAAGCTGCCAATAAAATTTCCCTTCAGACTCCAAATTTCCAGCACTGAGTAACTTAACACTTTAGTTGAGCATTTAGAAACAGAGTTCAGGTATCCAAACCAAAAGGGAAAGATAAAGTTTCCAAGGAAATGCAAACACAGCAGATAGAAGAGGTTTAGTTGTAAATAATTTTCAGTGTCTCATTCTCCACAATTTAAGAAAGGTTTATAAAGGGCAAAAATCTTACTGGGAAACAATCCCCACATTTTGCCCTGCCCACCCATGCCATAGTTGTGGCAAGGAGGTAAATAGGGCAGCAGAAGAAAGAGATGCTGTGGAGTTCTACCAAAAATTGGCCCACCATGGCCACCCAAAAGTTATTCTCTCAAAATTCCAGGTACGTATGAATGGCTGTTCTTAATAATGCCCATGCTCAATTATACATTATATCTCCCATACCTGATTTTTATAAAAGGTCCTGGGGGAGTGGGGAATGCACAACTACAAAACTATGCTGCAACTTACACAGATCAAGCAGCTCATGAATGGGTTGGGTCTACTGTTGATGAATGAAAAGACAAACCAAATTGTCAGGGATGAGCTGGAAGCTACTGAAGGATCCTCCGAACATGCTTCATTTACACTGGAGGAAAGCTGTATGCTCAAGGAAATATTTGTTTTAACACAACTCATAACAGCTTTTGAGAACTCAACACCACATGGTGCTGTGACAGTATGGTGTTATGCCTCTGCTTGTAGTCTGTCTGTGCAATCTTCTTGCAGCAGCTGAGGATGGGATCTATTGTTTCATCTGCTTCCTTGCAGAGTCTACATTTGGGGTCTGTTGTCGACTTTTCAATTCTGGCTTTGATGGCATTGGTTCAAATGGCTTGTTCTTGGGCTGCCAGAATCAGGCCCTCTGTCTCCTTTTTCAAAGTTCCATTTGTGAACCACAGCCATATTTTTTCTTTGTCAATTTGGCTCTCAATTTTTCCCAGGAACTGTCCATTATTATTATTATTATTATTATTATTATTATTATTATTATTATTATTATTACTATTATGCTTTTTTCTCTCCCAAAGGAGATTCAAAGCAGCTATCAGTAAAAGCCATACAATATGTAAATTAAAACCCAAACCATACCCCTTTTTCTATACAACCACTAAAAGTACAGACGGACATTCCAGTTTCTACTCTGACAACCTACGGGTTAGTCCATTTGGAAAATAGAGAGCTGCTTTAATAAAATGTTTGAGGCATTGGATTGCCCCCTTACTATAGTCATATTTGCATTAAAAGGGAATAAGGATGAAATACTGATTACTTTTACAGGGAGACACCCACATATGTCTTGTGTGCATGCACACACACAATATCAGAGTGGTTAGGTAGGTGGGCTTCTGGAGGTGACTGTGGAAACAATATCTCCGTCTGGCACTGCTTCCAGATTTCCGCCTGCCTGCCACGCATCTCTCCTGCTGAAAGAAAACACAACTGCTTCCTCTGCAGAGGGGAAATCCTGTGTTTATCTGGCTCTAGTATCAGGAAGAGAGTATCATTGTGGCTTGGTATCCTTCACCTTCTGCATGAACCCCACCCCCTCCTTCGGCGCTCCAGCCTTGAATGCAATGTTTAAGGCCAAACGGCAAAGTTCACACTGGCTTATCCAAATGAGTTAAAGGAATGGAATCAAGTTTCCAAAGCTGCACAATAAGCCCTATTCAACTGGAATCCTGTTTGGGGAAAGCGGAGATGAGCCTGCTGGCCTCACCCTTTTGTTGTCCCTCCATCATCCATCCCTGCCATCAATAGATATACCAAGGGCTGGACGGCAACGTTTATTAGTTTATTCTTTTTATTTGGGGAGGTTCCTTGGAACTGGAAAAAAACAGGACCTTAAATCACATCAGTAAATAGAGCTGCCAGATCGAAAGCTGGAGAGGGTTCCTGTACTTTTGATGATTTTGTAGAAGAGGGAATTTCAGATGCAATT